ACTGTCACACAGGCAAGCCGAAACATAAGCACATAAGCAAAGCTTTTTCAGAGACGCGACATGGTCTCGTGCCTGGGTTTGCTGTACTGAGCACTGTACTGGGTGCATTGGGCACTCGGCCCTGCTCGGTTTGGTCCCAAAAAAGAAAACACAGCATTCACTATGACCGTACTATTTAATAGTAGTGTATCGCTTCTACTAGTGATAGTATAGTGAAGTATAGTATAGTATAGTACAGTGAATATAGTGATACTTCTATGTAAGTTACGTTCTTCAAATCACAGTTCACCAAAACCGAGGATTCCTGGGCAGCTAGGACCAGCTAGGATCTAGAATCTGGACATCAGTGTTCTAGTCCTAGGACCTAGGACCTACTTGCATTTAGTGCAGCGTGTTGCTGAGCAGTTCCAGCAAGTGTGCACTGAAGTCAGCTTGCGCAACCCCTAGGGACAACGAAGCGGCTACTGATTCTTGCTTCGCCAGAACTGTAAGCCCATTCTCTACTTCTTTCTTGGACTCCTCTGTCTGTGGCTCCTTGGCTCTTCCCTCAGTCACTTGCTTGAGTGATTTGAGGATAAAGACTTCTGTCACAAAGACCTTTGCCTTTTGGGCAGCCTGGAACAATCAAGTCTGAGTCTACGTCTGAGTCTACTACTGACCATCCACCACCATGACATGCGGCTACGACTCAACTAAGACTACTCATTCCACTAAGTTCCAAGCATCATGGTGTCGATACAGAGTCTTAGTCAGGAATTAGTAGCTGGCTTAGTGGCTTAGTGTCAATATTTTAATTACAGTGACAATAAATATGTCATATTAATATTCATATCAATAAAGTTACTTACTCACTCATCATGCCTGCATCGTTCATGTTTCAATTCATTCAAATTCATTCATTCAAGAGTGTGTAGTCAGTACAGTCTGAAGCCTTTTGTGATTCCTAATCCAGTCTGGAGTCTGGAGTGTATTGATAATATAATGAATCTGATTATAATGATTGTAATCATTTTGCTTTCCTGCGCTGTCCAGCCTCCAACACTGCAGACTCAGCGCTGCAGCCAGCACAAGCAGATGCAACGGAGATCCTGTCTTCCTGTGTAGGCCATTCAATGCCCAAGTCTCGAACTGCCTGGAACAAAGCCTGTGCCCACCACTGGGTGAGTCTTGGACAACTGGTTGAAGAACCACCAGACTCAGAATCAGAACAGGACAGTGCGGCCTGTTCTGACACTGCGACCTGTTCTTCCCCCTCTTTCTGGGATAGTTCTAGTTCATCTGAGTACTCAGCATTCCAGTCCTCGTTTGCAGCACCTGACTCCTCGTTGTACATGCAATCCCAGTCATCATGGCAAGACTCGGGCATGGTAGTTTCAGTATCTCCAGGATTGTCCAATGACTCCAACTGTCCCACTGTTGAATGTAATGTGTCTTGAGTCTTGCGTGTAAAAAAGTCAGTGATGCCTAGTGGACCTAGTGACATAGAGGCCGAGCCGGATGCTGAGGAAAAAGGAAACAAAGCTTTGACAGCTCTGCAAAACAGTGGAAAAAGACAGTTGTCCAACGTCCAAAGTCCAAAGAACAGTCTCAGTAGCAGTCAGAGCAACTGTCTTTCATCACTAGCGGCACTAGAGTCACTACCTCATAATGAAATATAATGAACATCATCTGGCTTTTACTAAAGACTAGTGACTGACTAGATTGATTACACTTTATTTATTGACAAAGACCCAATGAGAAAGCATGACGGCATGACAAAACCATGATCAAAATGATAACACCAGAGCAATAACAATAAGAACAACGCAAATGAACACGCATGATGATCAAAATGATAACACCAGAGCAGTAAGAACAGCACAAATGAAAAAAAGATGATGATCAAAATGATAACATGAGAGCAATATGAACAGCACTAATGAAAAAATAATGATAAGCCAAATGATAGCGCCAGAAGAGAATGAAAACCAGACCAAAACAACCATGATAAGCAAAATGCAAATACAATGAAAAATAGTAGTTATTTTAACACTCATCAGTGTGTGGCTGTGAGATGTTCATAAGTGTAAGTGTAAGTCTACCAGTTCATGCCTGGTCAACTGAAATGCACCACATCCAGATCACTGTCCCTTTCAAGCCATTCAATTTCCATCTCAACCCTGAATCCAGGCTCCTGGTGGTTTGTGCACGTAGCTGCTGTTCTGATTGGTTTTGCATTTCTTCCGTGGGAAATTGCACGATTCTGTGCGACATGTCCATCATGCCAAGCCCAGGTCCTTACCGCCTGAGGAAGAGCGAGAATACGTGTGGAGCTCAACTTCTAGGTTCTTGCCTGTTAAAGCGGGCCTAATTAAAGGGGCCCTTCCCTTCTTCGTTCTGTTGTTTCAGGCTCCTATGGAAGACTCCCTCGAGAGTGAGAGAGACGAGAATGGAGCTGGCCCGAAAGTTTGTCGATCGAATGGTCAAAGGGAACAAGTGGACAACATGACAAGTTCAGACATGACAGGGCAAAAGACACTGAAGATTTGGAGTGCATTATTTCAGATTTTGCACATTTTTTACTTGGTGTTCTTTGCGACAGGAACCACAGAAGACTTTGTGACTTCCCGAGTACCGGTTAAGGCATGTCTCTCGGATTGCAGGTGCATGTGGCACCTTACATTGAAGCTTTAATTCGATATATTTCGACCATCAAACCAAATGCTTACAACTTTTGCATCCTTTCAAATTTTCAAAGGTTCATTGTGGATAGTCAGGGATTGCAAGCACTGACTGCATGGGCAAACACATTGAGATGTGCTTTGAGGGTCCCAAGTATCGGACCGATATCAGCGCTGGCATCTCGACGTAGGCGATGCCCAGTAGAGATGGCCCAAGCTCAGCATGGCCAGTTGGCAAAGCAGCTGCCTCCAGGCACTGATCACGCATGGAACAAGCAGACTGTTCTTGGACTTTTGTAGAACAAGCATCGCGCAGGTTCTTTGTTTTTCTTTGTCCCAGATTAGTACCACAGACTGCCCCAGAAAGTGATTGCCTCAATAATTCAATAGATGATTGATATAGAACATGATAGTGGTTTTCAAGTTGGTAAGGTACCCAGGACACACACCTGCATATTGAACCTATGAAGATACAGTTCAGGATGAGGACATGTTCGTGAACCAGTAACACTCTTCGGGAAAGGGGCATGAAGGAAGTAAAAAGCAGAAACAAAGACCAATAATGTATATGAAACTCCATGCCTCATTTTGAGTTTGATGCAGGACGGCGTGTCGATAGCAAGAGTGAGTTTGTAAGGACCTTTATAATTTCAACACCGTTTTGCCTAGACTCGCACGATGTGACTTTGATAGATATGAATATCAGAGGCTAGCATTTGGTGAAGTTGTCTTGTTTGCTCCGCCGAATGCACACTCTTGAACAAATTCAGGTATAGAATTGAGTGTGAGTCTTACCGAAGGGAAGGTCCAGGACCACATCCATAGGAATCTAATTATATAGGGATGTTTAATGGAAACAAAAGGACATCAAGAGGAAGAACTGGACATCGAGGCAAAAGGAAGCAAACAAATCTATAAAGGAATTAAAAGAATATCGAAGGGTACAAAGAGAAACCAGAAGGAAACTGCAAGCATGCAATGGAAACTCACTAGTCAATGACTGGAAAGGGGAGAGTTTGTACCAGACAGCATTCAGCTATATATTTACAAAAGTCCATTTTATAGAGATTGTGAATCTCATTGGAAGGTGTTTGGGGCAATGAATTGAAATGATATAAGTTTCGATGACAGATTTTACATGAAGGAAAAGGATCAGCTCAAAGTCACTGAAACTCAGCGGTGAAGAACAAGAAGAGAACATTTTGCAGCATCCAACAATTCAGTTTATATAAGTGCATTTTCAGGTACAAAGCACCACCTGCAGTTCTTACAAGTTCTTCAGTTCTGGCCTTGTAATGAATTGAAAGAAGAAGTTCAACACACACAAATCTGAGCTGGATGCTCCAGCGTTTGCACTGAGGCCAGCAGCTCCGACAGAAGGCTGTCATTCCAGAGAGATCCACGCTGAAGAACTTGTAGATCTCAGTGCAGTGAAGCACATGTCTTTGAACTCTGCAGGGAGACTGGCGAAGGACAAGGAGCAGCCAGAGCTTTAGATCCTGAGAAAGCATATTATAGAATATACATATCGAAAAGCCAACTGAGATGCCAATACCAGAGCACCCAGCAGGCCCGGTCCTTGCCAGTTGCTGAGGCCAGCAGCGTTATTCCCGAGGCATGAACGGGACATTCATTAGATGTTTGCTGCTTCGGTGCTTGCTCATGTGCACTTCCGGTCACACGTTGGCGAAGCCAGACTTTTGCACGTTTGAGTTTGTTGCTGTCATTTGCGCTCGCTAGAACTGTTGTTTCCACTTTCTCGCACATCCTGGTCAGGCTTCGGCTGGCGCTGGATCCAGTGTCAAGGCTTCACACTTCAAAGTAATGTGTTGAACACCGGAAGAACACGAACAAGATCTTTGTCATTGCTCAGCATGGGTGTCATGTCGTCTAAGATTGCTGCTCAACTCATTGTTTCTGTGTGTTTCTTTCTATTTTCTAGCTTCTTGCTACTAGTTAATTACTAGTAGCGTCCTTGCTCCTAGTAGTAAGGCCAGGAGCTACTAGTAGCTGCTGAAGTGTCACATTTCTCAGTTTGAGCCGAAGGCGCCGCCGCACCGAAGCACGCCGAGCTCTGGGTGAGGGAAGAGCCGAAGCTGGCTTTGGTCCCTTAGAGCATCAATCACGTCGCCCAACGCCCACAGCGTCGCAATGCACGGATGACCCGGATGACCTGGTTGATCGGGTTGTTCTTGCGGCCGCTTGCGGCTTGGAAGTCGTCAGTCCTGAAAAAGTGACCGCGGAGAGTGCAGTCAGTGCACCTTTGTAGCGGAGTAGGAGTATAATCGGAGTATATAGCTTGAAGGCTCGAGTGTTTGCTTGTCGTCAGACGGTCGTCAGGTATCCAAAATGGATATTGTTCGAAACCAACGGCATGAACGATGAGTACTTTGGAAAGGGAACTGAGAGGCTGACATGCGTACGTGGGACGGAGAGGGGTTGGAATTGGAGATTCATGGCTTTTGTGTTCTAGCATTGACTATTGCAACATATATTCAAACAAAATTTAAAGAAGCAACACAAAAAACGTGCTTTTATTAAAATGTCTTTCAAGAAACGTTCTTCTTGTTGAAGAGTGTAAACCTTGCAAGATCCACGGTGGATGCGCTTCTAGCAGAGGGCTATGAGCTATTTTGGGGAGGAGGATATCACGACAGTATCTTGGCGGCGCAAAAGTGGATTTGATGTTTGCTTTTTTGTCAGTGTGAGAGAACGATTCTTCGTCTTGCAGCTGGCAAGCGGGACACCGTCCTCAAGCGCACATGGTGAGCCGGTGGGTCAAATCCGCATTGCATTTCAGTGGGAAGCAGGTGAGACCATTTCTGAGCGCAAGCGCAACTAGGCTTGTGGACTTGTGGAGTTGTGCGCAACCGAAAACAAAGAAGAGGTTCATGCATGGGTTCTGTGCAAGTGAATCATCAGTTCGATGAAGTTTGGAGCATTATGTGTTTGAGTAATTATATATACACATACATATCAAGTAAAGTTAAGCAGATAACTATGTTTGGTGCCGCGCCTTTCCGTCGGCTCAAAGCTCAAATATTATATAGACAGCTCATGCCACCTCCAGCAGGTGACGGTATTCGCCACTTAAAATTAGTTGGTTTGCAAGCTGGAGCATTTGGTGAAACGTACTGACTGAGCGGGAGCTTCTAATTCTAAGCAAACACATGACACGCATCTACCATTTTGTTTTGGACTCACAGGCAGAGGGAACAGAGGTGAAAGCATTCTGCGTTCACAATGTCAGGGAGCCATTTAGGGGCCTCAGCATGTTCAGGTAATTATTTAGGTATCCTTTGCGTCCATCATTGTCTAAACCGATGGGAGACGATGAGCCAGGCCGGATTTTCATTACATAGGCAAAGCTTGCCAGTTGCCAACCATACATGATTTTCTTGCTTTTGAAATTTCAGATAGTGCAAGTGATGCGTCAAGCTGCCCAGAGCATTGTCAACGAAGTGCTAGCCAAGAAGCCGAAGCGCCGAGTGGAATGGGCACGCCGTCAAGCAATTCTGGCACTACCATATTTATAACTTTTGTAACTGTGAGCAAGTTTCAGTCCTTCCATTGAGGATGGTGAATCATTGTGTAATATCATTAATGATGTCGAGCATTGAGCCTTTAACATGAGCAATGGAGAGTATTTGCTGGTGAATGGGATCGGTATTCGAGCTAAGAATTTTGTCTCCTCTTGTTAGTCAATTGTGCATCGAACTTGGCCGTGCTTCAGCTGTCCTGGTTCGCACAAATGCCCAAGCAAGATCAAGCAAGAGGATGGGAACGACAGCAGCCATCCTGTCAAGGTGTGCATCAAGTGTATACCATGGCAGTATGCTACGTATGTATATGTTTTCTTTGTTGCATGCATGAGTAATTGCGTACAAGTGTTGAAGGCAGGTGATTTGGAACACTTTGCCACACGAGATTGAACCCATCAAAATTTAACCGATTTGCTCATACTTCCCAGCAGCCCACACAACTGGACTCCTTCATTTGTCCAATGGTGAGTGGGCTAAGACTGTCGAGGAACTCTTTGCCATTGTGCACTCAGTAGGTGTTGATGATTTCTGTGGCTTGTATTCTCCTAGGTTCGTGATGGCAAAACCTGGGAAGAGGGCTTGGTGCATCGTAGCGGCAAGTTATGCGAACATTTTGTTGCTGGTGAAGTTGAACTGCATTGATGTTGTTTCCTGTTGCGAGGCTTCTCCTGAGGATTTGCTAATTAGCTGGTCATTTTGAAGTAAAAGCAAGCACAGTGTCACAGTAGCATTCCGCTGTTGGTTGTTTGACCACTTCTGTAGTGGGGGGTCGCTTGACAAGGCCTTCTCAGAGGGCAAGAAGTCGCAATGCTGACTCTTTGGCTTCTTTGCCTTTTGTCTTTGTGGAGACTCTGGAGGATGTTGCCAATGTTGTCTTTGCATTATACAAATTTGCCTTTTCCATCCATTCTTAGGGTTCCTCTTCTTGGTTGAGCTCGACAGGACTGCTCAGTCTGGTACTCTTCCAGGAAGTGCTGGCAGCGCGCAAATTCTGCGTGGATGGAAGAGCAAGGACACACGGATGCTCCAGAAGGATCAGCGGGCATTTTGTTGTCATCCAGCTTTAGTCAGCCGTGTAGGGCCGGGTGTTTCCTTTCGACTTGATGCTCACGTTTTGGTTTTAAATTTTCAGGACGATGGAGACGAAGAAGACGAAGATGAAGAAGATGATGATTTGGAAAGTGAAGATGAACAAGACGAACCAAAAGCCAAAGTCACTCAAAGTGGACAGTGGCCACTGGCAAACCTTACTCCGGCTGCTGACAAAGAGGACATGAAGAAAACTTGCTTGGTCATCTCGGTCTGTGTTGGCTACAAGTGTTGTGCTTACAAGTCCTGACAAAAGAATTTTGGTGTGGGCACAGTTTGGAAAGTGGAAAAGGCTGTCATTTGCCTGTTGTGCCAGTGTCAGGACGATCCAGAGAGTTTCCAGAATGCAGAGCAGCTCGTTTTGCTTTTGGTTTTGTGTAGCACATTGCCTGGCAGAACAGTTGTACTTTCTAGGTGCAACCTCTTCACTTTGTGGGAGTACCCCCATGGAGCACCTGAATATGTGCGGCTGAATATTGAATCCTGGAGGCGGCACTCACATGGTCGATGCGAAACTCTTAGACTTCGGAAGCTTCAACAGGTAGAACGAGATGAGTAGACGCGATTTTCTAGGCGTTTGTTTTTTCAAACGGTTTGTATGAGTCTGCGAGCTTCTTGGCCTTAGGTGCCGAACCTATCTTCCTCAATGAGAAGAATATCCATCAATATATCCCAGATCTTCCTGAGGAGCTTCAGCAGTACACGTTATACTTCTATACACCATTGAAACTAAGCACATGGCAGCTGAAGGAGTACTTCAAGATTCCTTACCAAGCAGCACGATCAGATGTGGTGTCACGGCTGGACATTGAGGACGTCGGGAAGACAGTAGTGTCAGGCATGCCTTGCCCAGGTGCGATATGCTGTGATCTATCACAATGGCGGCATCTATATGGATACCGATTTTTTGGTGCAGGAGGACTTGTAAAACAGGCTCTTCGTCGATCTCCATTTGGAAATTCGATCAGGACTTAGATCCCGTCATCGATGTCCTGAACATGGATTTGGTCTCCTATTCTGGCAACAATCCCAGAGGACACTTCAGCATGAGGAACTGTGCTTTGGGATCATTTGATATCGCATTTGTTGAGAGGAAAAGAATGCCCGCCCGATTTCAGTTCCAATTTTTTGGGTGGACGTAAAGGCAGCACGTTCCACAAAACGCTTCTTGGCAAGATTGTGACCTTTACGTTCTTTCAAGCATGTGGAGAATCGCCAAATTTTCGGGAACTGAGGGTCTATGAGGCCCGGGTCTTGGTGAAGCTACTGATCGAAGCTATTGAGCATTTGTTCATATTTTTTCTGTCCGATCCAAAGCAAAACTATGTGCAGCTTGGCCAAGGCTCAAATCAAGAAGATGCAAAAGTATTGCCCTGCCTCGCAAAAGGTGCCCTGGAGTCAACCCGAAGCAATTGTAACAGAATCATCTTACAACTCTCAAGGTTGTCATTTACTGTCAGTTGATGCATTTTTGAAAATAGATATGATTGCGGACAACAGAGTGTGCAGTGACCAAGGGAAAGCCTGTGAATGGCAAAGAGGTGTTTTGCTGCTTTGCAGAGCCAGATGCAACTCAACAATTTGCAAGTAGGTTGGAGGCCATCGCTACTAGGGTGGAGGCCATCGCTGTTATGATGAACGCAATGAATGCCGCACCCGAGTAAGGCCTTTGCGTGTGCGCCCTTGCTGAGGTGAAATGTGATGTTCCCTGGGCATCTATTGGTGAAGGTGTTTCCCATGGTGAGCTACGGAGGCCCTGGTGGTGTTCACCGGTGACCGGTGACCATTCCGCCCGTCAAAGTGGCCATGTTTGGACCAGTGGGACTGCAGGATGCGGCAGGATGGCGAAGAGTTTACATCCTATTGCTTTGCTGGTGATCAATCCTTTGTGCCAGCCGACATGGAAGGAGTTCTACTGCCCCTTTGTTGCAATGGAAATCGATCACAGGTTGCTTGAAATATCCATCACATCTTGGAGGCATGCACCGCTGTTGGCTGATGCTACGAATAGATTTGACCGAAATGGAGTGTGCTCCCCAGCGGCTTTCTAGTGGCCGGAGCACCCTTGCATTTCAGCGCCCTTTGCCGGTTCCAGCCCAATCTTTGGAACCACAGGGTTTCTTCAGGGATGCATTTGTTGCATGATAAAGTTCACGTGGGATGTTGTGTTGATCCTTTGTGGTGCACAGCAGGTGAAAAATCCTTTTGGAAGGATAGCATATCATTTGTTCAACTCGCACGGGTCTTAGCAACTGCCCAAGACTTGTTCCAGCAGATAAGAGCTTCTGGCACAATGTGTTAATCACATTTGCAAGTGTGTTTTGAGCTTGTGCATGATCCAAGGATGACATCATTGCAAACATGGTCTTGCAAACGCCTTTCGAGTAATGATACATTCATCGGAAGCCTCTACATGAGGAGAAGGGGTTCTAGGTAGATTCTAGGTGCCTAGATGTCGCAACGAGATCCAGAAGCAGTTGCTATGTTTCGTGCAGGAGCTTCACAAATGGGGCAGGAGCTCAGATACTTCGCAGATATTAACAGTACTGTAAAGGTTTTTTCATTTCTGTGACACTATCATGACTAAACGGTCGAGTGTATGTGAATAGATGAGATGTTGCTTTAAAATACATTGGTTGGTTGATTTGGGTCAATTTTGTGTATTTATTTATATATGCGGTGTGGCCCAGTGGCCAGTAAGGGTGATCCGGTAGTCTTAGCTGCTTCTTGGCAGGGGGTTTTCCTGTGTTGACCGAATTTTGATTTAACTTGTTGATGTCAGGAGTGACTTTCTGTTCTATTTGATGCAAGTGGATTGCTTGCTGTTGGTTTGCAAGTGGATTGCTTGCTGTTGGTTTCTGTTTTCTGTGCGGCGCGGGCTCCTGCGTTGGCGCTCGGAGTTAGCAGACTTGATTGCTGAGGCGAAGCTTCCCTTGGCTATGCAAGCTCGTAACTGTCGTGAACCTGACAAAATCAACAGCTCGGCTCTAGGTGGTATGCGTGCTAGTACCATCAAAGTCAGAGTAAGGGAATGGCGCAAATTGCGCGCTTACTCGCTAGGAGTGGCTGGGATTGCATGGCCTCCAAATTTGGGCATCGTCCTGGACTATCTTCAAGAAAGGGTCGCTGAGCCTTGTGCGCGAACTGTGCCTCATTTTTAGCTGCCTTTATTATGGAGAAAGCTAGTGGCGTGGCAGTTCGTGACCGTGTTTCTGGAGAGCAAGTTCTCAGACATTTTGTTGATCAGAGCACCATGGATCTAGAGGGGGGTGCCCCCCCGAAGCGGAAATCTCCGCTATTGCCTTTGAAGTTGCTTGGTGCCTTGGAGCTGTTGGTGGTTGATTCCTCCCAGCCATTATATGCTCGGGGGCTAGCATTTTTCAAACTTTTAAAGCTATGGACAGCTGCTCGCTCACATGACCTATCGGGTCTGAATCCTGTTTCCTTGCGGTGGACTCCGCATGGATTAGTGGGTTGCTTGGCGCGCACAAAAACCACTGGTCCAGGCAAACGCGTGCGGCATCTGCCCGTGTTTGTGAAAAAGTCAGCATTTTTCATGGCGCCGTCTTGGCTTTCCATTGGTCTAGATGTCTGGAGACATGCTGATATGAATTTTGACCGCGACTATTTTCTGCCTCTCCCTCGCTCTGATTGGGAAGGTGTTCGGAAGTGCATGGCTGACTATGGGGATGTGGTTGGTTTAACAAAGCTGCTTTTGCGAGAATTGAGAGTGCCGATTTGGTCACGGGGAGTGTGGATCCAAAGTGATTCTCCTTTGCTCCTAGTGGAAGAAGCCTTCAAATTTTGGACTGAGCACAGTGAACGGAATTGGCTGGCGTGCCCCCGAATGAATGCAATTTCATCGG